CCCCCCCGCTCCCCTGTTCCCAGAGCCCACATTCCTCACCTCTCCCCGGGCCCGGGGGGTGGGGCTGTTTCTGAGGAGCAGCCGTTGGCTGCGGGCAGACCGGATGGAACCTCTCGGCACAAGTGAGCTCTGCTTGAGAGCGGGGCACGAGCCCACCGCTGGATATTGCGCATGCGCCCAGCGTGCCTCTGGGATATACTCTTAAAGGGCCAGGGGTCCGTCAGGCTGTGTGGGTCCGTGCGCATGCGCCGGGAGAACACATCGTTAAGGGCGCTGCGGCAGATCTTAAAGGGACAGCGGGGAGGTGCCTTGCCCGAGGTCACAGAGCGAGTCAGTGGCAGAGCCGGGAATGGACGCCAGGAGTGCGGGCTCCCCCTGCCACAACTCTGCGCACGTCACAGGGGCTTCCTGGGCACTAGCCTCTGAGCTGAGGCTGTAGCTGCCTGACATGGGCCACGAGGCTAGTGCTGGGCTCGCGTGGGTGGGGGATAACAGCCTACTACTGCTGCTTTCTTGCAGCCCTGCCTGAGGGACAGGCGCTGCACTGGTGGGCTGAGGCTTGGCGCTCAGCGTTCAAATCTTGCTGAGGAACTCACCCTGTGCTGAGATGTCACAGGAGAGAAACATCCTGCCCCTCATTCCAATCGTACACACGTGACTATGTGCAGGAAAACCAGAGTGGGCAGGTCTGCGCTCACTTTCTTGCTCCGGTAGAGATGGCCGCTTGGCGTAAGCAACCATCTCCTACTCCAGCTTGCTGTCGGAGCCAGCCAGCCCAGATGGCTACTCCTGTCTTCCTCAATAAGGCATTAGGATTAGGAGAATCTAAGGGGAGTCAAGGAGAGTCAAGGAGATAAGGAGAGTCAAGACTCCTAACTTCTGTTCCTGGTTTGGCCATGGACACTTTGACACAAGGAGTTTAGTATATTCACTTACCTCCCCAAAGTCTTATGAAGCTGAATTAATTGTCAAGTGCTTTGAGATCCTTAGATGGAAGATACCAGGTATTATCAATAGTGTTAGAATCTGACAAATGCACAATTTAAGCTACAGAATCTTCATTATCTGTGCAGGGGTGGGGGATTACAGGGACCACAAGAGGCAAAAGAGTCACCCACAAGGAACTGATTAGCCAGTTTTCCTCCTATTTATTGTCAGTCAATTGATCTGCTCTTCCTCCCAAGTGGAGGTGGGGATGGCGCTGTATGGGTCCACAATCAGCTTGGCGCACCTCACGATCATGGCCATCAAGAAAACGCACATCAGGATGACAAACCCAATGGCAAACCCCTTGTCCACATCGACGTACGGCTGCACTGTCGGACTCTCCATAGGGCTCCGCCTTCACACCCTGCTCTGTCCTCTGAGCTCTGGCACGTCCATCACCTGCACAGCAGAGTTTGAGATGGAAATCATTATTTTTGTGCATAATTTATATTGTGATTGTGTAATCCATACACCTAGGCTACATCTACACTGGCATGATTTTCCGGAAATGCTTTTAACGGAAAAGTTTTCCGTTAAAAGCATTTTCAGAAAAGTGTGTCTAGATTGGCAGGACGCTTTTCTGGAAAAGCACTTTTTCCAGAAAAGTGTCCGTGGCCAATCTAGACGCGCGTTTCTGCAAAAAAGCCCCGATCGTCATTTTCGCGATTGGGGCTTTTTTGCGGAAAACACTACTGTGCTGTCTACACTGGCCGTTTTCCAGAACAGTTTTCCAGAAAAAGACTTTTGCCCAAATGGGAGTAGCATAGTTTTTCCGGAAAAGCACTGATGATTTTACATTAGATCGTCAGTGCTTTTCCGGAAATTCAAGCAGCCAGTGTAGACAGCTGGCAAGTTTTTCCGGAAAAGCGGCTGATTTTCTGGAATAACTTGCCAGTGTAGACACGGCCCTCGTGTGTGTGGTTCACTGTCCCATGTAGTGGCATTTAGACCACTTATAGTGAGAGAAAAGAATGAGTGAGCTCTACAGCCTAAGATTAGAGCCAGCTGGCTTTATAGCTTAAGCTGTAGCGGCTCCTACACTAAACTCTAGAGAGCCCGGTTTCAAATCTGCAGGGAGGTGATTACAATTGCACCTGTGGGTTCCAATTAAGTCTCTATGGTGCTTGGCGTTGTAAACAACCTAGTCACTGGCCCAAAGAGCTCACCTATGAAATTAGGAAGTTTGCATTACCTGCAGAGGACAGAAAATGCTAGAGTTTGCTGCTCATAGGTTCAAAGACTTTAAAGCCAAAAGGGACCCACATGATTATCTATTCTGACCCTATGCACAGGCCACAGAATCTCACCTATTCAGTCCTGTAGTAGGCCCATGATCACCAGCTGAGTTACTGAAGTCCTCAAAACTTGATTTAGAAAATTCAAGTTAGAGAAAAGCCGCCATTTGTTCTGGGAAGTGTCCTGTGCCCCACAGCACAGAGGGAAGGAAAAAAGCCCTCTAGCATCTCTGCCAATCTGACTGGAGGGAAAATTTCTCTAGTAACTTAGAAGCCTCCCCCTCTAGCGTCCCCTCTTCTGCCATGGGAGATAGTTGTGAACAGCTGTTGTGGATGGGCCATATGTCATTGTATGTAACTTCTCAGATAATTTCCTCCATAAACTTATCAAGCGCTTCCTTTGGCCCGTCAACCCCAGTATGTTCCATGTGAGAGACATGTCACAACATATTGGTTATGTACTGAGTACCGCTGAGAGAGGCCTGACTCCCCCATTTCCCTAAACACTGAGACATAGTCACTTTCTCTGGCTCAAGTCATGTTTATTTCTCCATATTTACAGTGGACCAGCTTCAAGAGCGGGGCTTGAGAAAGTACCATTAACCCACTGGGTAGGGCACTCATCTCAAAGGGGAGAGACCTGCGATCATGTCCCTTCTCTGATTCAGGCAAGCATTGGCCATGTAACCACTGAGCTAAGGAGTGTAAGAAGGGCAGCTGTGTTTTGTGGGAGGTCTGATCTGGTAGACAAGCTCTTTAGCAGCCTCAGCATGCCTGTGTCTGTGTCTCCATTCCACATGAGAATAATAGCTTTTCCAAGGAGTGCTGTGAAAATACCGGCATTAAAGAGGATGAAGTGCTTGCTGCGATGTGATGCGGGCCACAGGAATACTTTGGATAAGTGACCTGACACATCATCAAGATGACAGATTTCCGTTTATTTACAGTCACTTGTTTGTATCCTGTTGTAGTTTAGTTCCAGGAGACACTGAAAATACTTGGCTGCTGGCTTTTGGATTGTTCATACTCAAAGCATGTGCCCAGGGCTATGTCTGGTGCGGTGAGTAGTTTTCCATGTGATTTCACTACTGGTGTATTTTCACTTTCAGATGTGTAATAACGTTGCTTAGTGCACTCCTGAAAGGCGCTGAGATGCTACAGCGATGAGCAAGCTGTGAGAACCTGTATAGACTAGAAGTGGTGAAAGTTTGACTGTCTCAGAAATTTTGGAGTCCTCTGTTTATCCAGAGAACATATCTAGGAGGGTCAGCAGCAGGAAATGCATCCCTAATTCCTCCCACCCTCAAACCTGTTCTAGGAGGACTACAACCGAAGGGGTCACTCAGATGCCAGAGCCTCTCAGTCCCTGTCATCTTTGCCAAACCTGCTAAAAAGTGAACAAGGTGGCAAGCTTTTTGAGACTGTTCTGTGTTTGTACAGCACCTAGCACAAAGGGGTCCTGATCCGTGACTTTCCTTCTCCCCACCACACACACTACTGCCCTGCAGATAATAATAGGTCTCCCTTTACTGCAGTAGCTGAGCATCTCACAGTCTATAATATATTTATCCTCATGACATTAGTGGGAGGTAAGGCTATAAACCATGTTTTGCAGCTGGACAATTGAGGCACGGAGAGATTAAGGGAGTGGCCCATGGTCGCACAGAGATTCTGTAGCAAGGGCACGGTCTTGAACTGAAGTTTCATGAGGCCCTGGACTCTTAGATCCTTGTTAATGTTCATCTGTCTGAAAGGAGGAGATATTGACAGCTGGGGTGCTGGCTGTGCAGGGTGGACACCCGTCACACTGGGGATAGACTGAGGCCCACCAAACTTAATTTCCTGTTACAGTTCCCTGATGAACCAGCAGGTGGCAGAGAAGGAAATCCTGTAAGTCAGTAGTCCCCAACCTTTTGGGACTGCCGGGCGCCCGGAGGCAGGGCCACTCACGCACCGGGCACCCAGGGGAGGGGCCACACATGGGCCCGGGGGCGGGGCCGCACACACACCCGGGGGCGGGGCCACCCAAACGCTGCATGCCCAGTGCCGGTGCCATCCACGCGCTGCACGCCTGGGGCTGGCGCCGCTCCTGCTCTGCGTGCCCAGGGGCGGGGACGCCCATACGCCGCATGCCCGGTGCCCGCACAGCCCTTACACTGTGCATCACGCCTAGGGGCGGGGCCACCCATATGCCACGTGCCCAGGGCCAGCGCCGCTCAGGGGTGGGGAGCCAAGCGCCCAGGGGTGGGTACGCCCATACGTCGCGTGCTTGGGGCCGGCACAGCCCATGCCCTGCCCATGTGCTGTGGGCCCGGGGCCGGGGCCGGCGTTGCGCCTTCACTGGGCGCCCGGGGCGGGGCCGCTCATACGCCGCGTGCCCAGGGGCCAGCAAAGCCCTTGCACTGCATGCCTGGGGATGGGACCAGTCCCGATCACTCGGTGGGCGCACAGAAATGTCCCGGCGGGCGCCATGGCGCCCACGGGCACTGCGTTGGGGACCACTGGTGTAAGTGACTGTTCCAGTGAAGTCTGATGCAGCTGGTGAAGTGTCACAGAGGTCACCTGTGTTACAGAACCCAGCTCTCCCAGGCCAGCAGCATCTTAACTACTGGTCCACCCGTCCTCTCCTGCTACCTTATCATGACTGCCCCTTGGCCTGCCCATAATTAGCCATTTTCTTGTGAGCACCATAAAGTCAGTGAGTCTGGAGAGATTGGAGGCACATGAGTGGCTTAAGGGATTGGCTAGAGGAACTTGTTGCCAGCATAGTGGGCGGGACTAAGTACTCTCTTCTAGACCATCCCTGACAGGTGTTTGTCTGACTTGCTCTTTAAAATCTCCAATAATGGAGATTCCACAACCTCCCTAGGCACATTGTTCCATTGTTTAACCACCCTGACATTTCCTAATGTCCATCCTAAACTGCTCATGCTGCAATTTAAGCCCATGGCTCATTGTCCTGTCCTCGGAGGTTAAAGAGGACAATTTTTCTCTTTCCTCCTTGTAACAACCTTTTACGTACTTGAAAGCAGCTGTTATGTCCCCTCTCAGTCTTCTCTTTTCCAGATTAAACAAGCCCAATTCCTTCAGACTTCCCCCATAGGTCAAGTTTTCTAGATTTTTAATCATTTTTGTTGCTCGTCTCTGGACTTTCTCCATGCACGTCTTTCCTGAAATGTGGTGCCAGAATCGGACACAATGCTCCAATTGAGGCCTAATCAGTGCAGAGTAGAGCGGAAGAATGACTTCCTGTGTCTTTCTTACAACACTCCTGCTAATACATCCCAGAATTGCACTCCACACATGTTGGGCATGCCCAGTCCTACAGCTGCTCTAACTTACGTTCCACCATCCTGAGAAGCGGAGCTTAGCCACAATGCATTGAGCTCTGGCTACACCACAATTCATCCCCCTCACCAGAGGCCAGTGCAGGACCCTTGTAGTGGCTGCCCACCAGCTGGGGAGCCCCCTCCTTTGAGGAAGGACTCTCAAGGGGCTGTTTCCATCCTCTTTTAGGCTTGGTTATGTTGCTCGAGTGGCATAAACAGCGGAAAGATTTTTACAGTGGAAATTCTGATGCCTTCGATTGCAGCCGTGCGCAGCGTGAAACGGCTACAGATGTGGACAAAGATCAGAGATGCCGCCTTGGTTTTCCTCCAAACACAAATGCCTCCAGCAGCTTTGGATGGCAAAAATGCGCAATTTCCCTGGTTTTTTTGCTCCCTTTTGTTTAGCCATCTTCATTTCATCGGCTCCCCATAGTGATGCCTATTGCGGTCATGTCAAATGAAGGGCAGAAGAGTAGTTCATGAACTAGATGTGGTCATTCTGCATCCAGATCATAACTGTGACTTCCAATGTCCATGCTACAGCAGGCTGTGTGTGGGGGTTGGCCATGTTACGGCAGGCTGTGTGTGGGGGTTGGCCATGTTACGGCAGGCTGTGTGTGGGGGTTGGCCATGTTACGGCAGGCTGTGTGTGGGGGTTGGCCATGTTACGGCAGGCTGTGTGTGGGGGTTGGCCATGTTACGGCAGGCTGTGTGTGGGGGTTGGCCATGTTACGGCAGGCTGTGTGTGGGGGTTGGCCATGTTACGGCAGGCTGTGTGTGGGGGTTGGCCATGTTACGGCAGGCTGTGTGTGGGGGTTGGCCATGTTACGGCAGGCTGTGTGTGGGGGTTGGCCATGTTACGGCA